GAAGGGAGGAGGGAAGGGAGGAGGGAAGGGTGGAAGAGAAGGAGGGAGGAAGGAAGCCAAGAGAGGAGGGAGTTAATAGCCGGGGAGGGGGAGGAAGGGAGGAGAGGAGAGGAGAAGGGAGGGAGGAAGGAAGCCCCATTCCGTCGAAAGGACACGACCGGCGAGATTGCAATGATAGATGACCACTTCAAGAGCTGCCATACTCAGGTTCAGTGACCACGTACATAGCATTGAATCGAGACGTCAAGGAACACTGATCACAGATCTTTTCTTTTATGCTCACTCTACCTTGACTCAATCCATTATTGAATATTGTAAATTATTATTAACTGCACGTGCGAAGGTTTCTATCAGTTGAATGCTCACAAAGAGTTCGCAAATGTAAGGTTACCTTTCAGAATACCGCAGGGAGCTGTAAACAGGCTATTAGTTATATATGAGTTCGTGAGACACTTCCCTTACCACTTGAACATCCAGTAATATGAAAAAAGCCATYCCAAAGGCAATCACAAACAAGCTGAACAACATTGCGACCTATTCAAACACAAATCACCTAATCAAAAAATGCCTATGAAACCGGGTCCGACCACAGGCAGCCCACCCATTGTATACCTTCTGTAGATAAAAAAACTCGAAAACACAAAAAAACGCAAAATGGGGGCACGCTGCGTTTGCTTGATTCATTTGCTTTGAAATTGTGGATTACATGGGCTAATACGTCGCGATCCCGCACGTTACACATTAGACTGCGTCGTAAAGTAGTACCACAAGTTCAAAGCCTGTGAATCAAGCACATGAAGCGTGAGTTTTTCGGATTTTTTTCGTTCTGTTAGGTCTGGGCTGCCTGTGTTCCGACTGAAGAGACTACTAACCTGAATGACCGTCTTTATCATGCTTAATACCATGAGCACATACCGTCCGTARGTCGATGATCTTAAAATTAAATAATTAAGATATTTACAATGTTTGACAATGGTTTGTTYGAGTAAAATTTACAAGAAATTTACAGAATGTACTTACAAACTTTGGAAAAGGACATTTTGTCTGTAAGTCGTATTTACATATCTATTTACATATYATTTACAAACTCCTTGTGAATTATCAACTTTTCCAGTGAATATGCCTTGAAAATCGTACCTTCTCATGTGCAATGCAAGATTAATCCATGCAAAGAATAAACACATAGCAGCTGCTTCTATTTGTGCGGTCTTTTTGCATGAGCAGACRGGCACGAGATAAAACAACGCTGTGGCGAAGATGATCCATTCAAAAAGATTGGTGACATCGAGAAAATATTTCTTTCTCTAAAAAAAACATAATAGAAAATACACAGTCATCATTATTGTCTGTGTAAATTGCAATAAATCTTAAAATAGAATGATAAGCTGCGAGTTTGTTACTTCACTTTTTGTGGTTCATCCTGTCATAGGACGAAGAACGAAGAATCACTATGCTCTAGTGCATGTAAGTCAGTACGTATTTCAGTCAGTAGCAATTTCAGGTAAGCATGCCTCTCGTGTAAGTCAGTTTTGATAAGGATTACGACTTACCCGCTTGAAGAGTTCACCGAATTCTTTGGCAATGAGCAGGAAACACAGTGCAATGGCAAAATATTGAGCAACAATCAAYTTTCGAAACTAAAGACAAGCATATAAACAAAAACATAACAAATAAGTGAACATAAAGCAATGAACTATTGGTACGAAAAAAACTTTAGACGCAAAATAAACCAGTTATGAATTATAATATACAAGTAAAGACAACGTTTAAACGTCATCCACTACGTGTAAAATATCCAAAGAAAGGAACACTATAGCAAACGATTCGTAAAGTTCAATTCAATTAACAAATTTGGGTCTCCAGGTTGGTACCAGTATGAAGCGCCTTTGCATGCTTCAAGTTTGATTGTGTTCTATTGTATTTCCAGTAAGCTAGTGCGATGAGATTGTACCTTGTTCTCATGCTTGCACTTCAATAACTCCTCGCTCTAGGAAAATAAAGTAAAATAATAAAAACTGTAACAAAAGGTTCTACCTGGATGCACCTTATTGTAAAAAAATATTGTCGGATTGAAAAGGATTAATTGTATCTAAATTCTCTGTATGTAAGTTACAGGATAGCCGCCATGTTTGATTAAAATGACACAACATTCGTCATTACTCTTGCTCATTCATCCAACATGGCGGCGCATATAGTGAGCTATGCTTTGTTTTCTCTTAAGATCGATTTTTGGCCATGCAGTTGCAACCCAACAAATTCCACTAAAAAATATAAAAGACATTTGAGCGAGACCCAAGATAATTTCTAATCTTTGCTCCATAATTATATCTCACATCATCTGTTGTAGACTTATCAGTTGTAGAATTTAGAGGAGGACAAATGTTCTTCATTTGAAAAACCAACATAGTCATAGACAGCAAGAAGGA